AGTGAAACGTTTAATGAAAGTTATTTTTTTAGAGTAATAACGTTAGAATTTTACTCATCTTTTAACAACCAACTAAATTTTCCTCGTAAATATGATCGAATAAAATAAGCAACGTCATCCGGTTACCGATATTAGTTTCGATCTAATGGGTATAGTAATACTATATTTTTCTTTATAAAACTCTGAAAAAGAAAAAATATCTTTATTTTGACAAAAATTTATTATGTACAATAATAGTTGACAAACGATCAGTTACAATCATTTAAAGAACAGCAATGAAAATAAAAAATAATTTCTTATATTGTATAGTTTTCTGTATTAAACTAGTGGTTATTTTTTATTTCGCCAGGTAAGAAAGCTATTAAGTATTTCACATGTTTTTTCTTCTTTGGAAATATTGTTACTTTCTAACTTCGGACTAACTTCAAAATTTTTGGTTGTACTTTGTCGAATATCTTGTAACATTTCTCGGGAAATTTCCTGAAATCCATCATTTAAACTGGAGAGTTGGATACGCGATTCTTGTAGTTGAGCATCCATATTGGGGTGAATTTTTATATCATAATGATTAAATAACCCTTTCAGTTGTTGTTGATGCACTACAATACTCCATATGCGAAATTTAACGAATTCATATATTAGAGGAAATTTTATTAGTTCTGCTTTATCAGAATTTGAAAATGTCTCGAACTCTTCAAAAAAATCATACTGACTTAATGCTTCTAATAATCCAAATGTAATTGAGCATCTATTAGATAAATCTTCTTTCAAAATCTGGATATAAGAGATCTCTTGTAAGGTGGAAGTTTTTAAAGAATGTTTATTAAAAAAAATATTTAAAATAGCACGAGCAAATTCTGGTCCGTTTTCCCTACCTAATCTACAAACACTTAAAGGTAAGTGAACCCAAACTTCTATCTATTTAACAAATCTATCTAATGCATTCTCTATACTGGTTCGTAATTCTTCACAAAAATTTTCAAAATCTGTTGTGTCTAATTCACGTTTAGCATCAATTAACTCATCTTCAAACAACCTATAAATATCTTCTAGATAATATTGAAGCTCTTGAATTTACATTACTATTTTATTTGGCATTTCATGAGCACGATTGCCTAGGGGAAGAGTATCTATATTATTTGGGTGATTGATTTGTGGAGTTGGATCATGTCTAGTTAGAAAATTGTAAATAGGTTCATAAAACTCTTGACTAAATTTAACAAGGCATTGTATTTGGAGATTAAGTCGCTTATCTGTAAGCTACTTAAGAAATAACTGCCATTTATTTAAGTATGATATTGGAACATTCTTGGCATTTTTAAGTTGCTCAATAAAAAATTGAGCAAAATTAATATGAACTTCACGACGGTCAAGATATTGTTTGGTAGTTTTAAGTTCATATAACTACTATTGACGGATAGGCTGTTGATATTTGCTTATTTCAAAATTAAACATTACTTTATAAAGTTTTTTTAATATTTCTAATTTTAGATTTAACGAACTGTTCTTATCTGAAAGATTATATCCATCGTGAAGATGAAAAGCCAGATTAAGTAGATTAAATAGATGTTTTTTTAATGATAATCCTTTAATAGAATCTAGCTTTCCAAATACCGTATTCTCGAAATTCATTAAAGCAATATAGGTTGCGTGTAATCCACAAGGAATTCAGAAAGATTGGGACATTGCTAATGAATTAAATTTAGTGACAGCACTATTAGCCTCTGAAAACATATAGGCCGTGTTATCTGTTAACCAATAATGACATTTTTGAGGATCAATACCTTTCTCTTTACAAGTTTCAAATACTATACTTGAAACGGTTTTGGTATTACAATGTGTTATATCTGTTACTCTTGCTATAGTAATCATTAGGTTTAATTTATTATCATCCTAATATAAAAAACAAACAATTAATATTTTTTTTTCCCCTTGTGTGCTTTCATCAGCCATAATACTATAACTAAAAAATTTAGAAGTTTCTTTAGGATGATTTTAATTAAATGACAAAGTTGCCACTTCTTTATTCTATCATGCTAAAGTTTTTGATATTATCCAATGCCATATTGTTCTTCTAGTTAAGAATTGATAGACAGCCTTAGTGCATTCTACAGTTGCATATATAGAGGTTTGCTCTATATTACTAATATTAGTTGCTAATTTTACAAAGTTTGTATTATATTCCTTATTATTAATTTTAAATAATTTGTTAGTAGCATAACGAAATTGAGCTGACCATATTTTTTTTGTTTTACAAATTGTTGCATGAATTTTTGAAACTTGTTTTCATTTTGATTATTTTGCCCTTGCTATCTGTATAGAAAACGAACGAAGTTGAGTGTTGATTGTATATTTATTTTTTCTTAAGTGCTGATTCTCTCATTTTAAATTTTCATTTTCTAATACTAATGTACTGATAGTATGACCCTGTTGATAAAGACTAGTATCAATAAAATCATGTGCTTTGTTTTGTAAGTAGGTAGATATTATCTCTCTTTTATTAATTCCTTGAGAGTAGATCATAGTTTGAAATAAGTTTAACGCATTAAATAGTTGTTGGTCAGGTAAGTTACAAACATGTATAATTATATCATTACATTTTCTTTGAGCACCAGCATCTATTTCTCATAACTCAACAATTTTTTTTATTATAGAATTGAAATTATTATCATTTAGTTGTTGAAACGATGAAATTAAATTATTGAGTAGTTGTTTTTGAATGTAAGTGTTCATTTTTCTGGATTCAAGAATTTTTTTTATTAAGAAACTAAAGTCATTATCATTTAATTGTGAGAATTTTGGAATTAGATAACTAAGCAATATTGGAGGATTATTTATATGATTCCATAATATTTTTATTTGGTTATATTCTCATAGCTCTCTAGTCTTTTTAAGATGCTTATTTTGTGCTTTTAACTGACCCATTATAGTATTACTATCATTGTGGGATGTGTTTTTTATAAAATTTAGCTTACACAAAATATTTTTTAGTTCTATTCAAATGGTACCTAATTGATGGAGACATGAGAGTTTGACAGAACAGAAATGTGAGTATTTGTAAGAACAGAGACTTAAGAGCTTAACAGGACAAAAATATGAGGTTTAATAGAATAGAGCGTAAGGGCTTAACAAAACAGAGACATGAGGGTTTGATTTTGATATTTTATAATGATTATAAGGGTACAAGTAATTATCAATCAAATTGACTACCATCTTATTTTTGCAATGAACTTGGTTTTTTTATAGCTCTATTTATAGAAACAATAAAATATTGAATTGCAAAAATCAAAATCAATAATTACGAAGTAGGTTCGTATTGTGATATATTATTTATTAGAGAATAATAATTTAGAGAGCTAATTATTATTATTCATTTTGGCATTTAGTACAGCATAGATATATAATGCTTTTTACTATAACACACTTATTATTAAAAATAGGTTTATATTGGGTTATATTATTTTATTAAAAAATTATATAATTGGGATTTGGAGTATTAATTATCATTGTTCGCTTTGGTGTTTGATATAGTATGGATGTATAACCTCTTTTTATTCTAATACATTTATTTTTTTGAATATAATATTGATACTTATTTAAATTAACGCGCACTTTAAATTTTTTATTATTAGGTACAAAGAAAAGGCACTGCAGTCATGTTTATTTAAATTTAAAATTGCATTTAATTATTTAATTATTTAATTATGTACAATAACAACTTTTAAATAAATACAATTCTTAATAAATAAATTATTATGTAATTTGATTAGAAAAGTTTTTTTTTTATTAATTAAAAAAAATAGAATTAAATCTAAGAACGTGCTTTGATTATTGAATATAATACAGTCGACTTTAACATTTTTAAAATGGATGCAAATTTTGAATAATTGTTCAAATTTTATATTTCACTCTCTTTAATGACTATTATTATAAGTATTAATTATTGAGATATGATAATACATAAGATCTGTGAGTAGTAATAATAAGAAAGACTAATTTTTAACAGTTTCTATTTGAAGCCATTATAGCGTACTTGGAATTATATCTTAATAACGACCATTAAGGGCTAATTAGAGATAAAATTTGGAAAATATGCTATAATAACTTCTAATACATCGATATACATTAATGATTCTCTAATTGAAGATAAGCATAAATCTTCTAATACGTCGATATGCATTAATGATTCTCTAATTGAAGATAAGCATAAATATTCCAATATATCAATAAACACTAATGATTCTCTCATTGAAGCTTAAATCAAACAATAAATTTCTAATTGTTTTTTTGCTAAATAAACTTCCAAATTACTATATTAGACATATCCATATCTTTCAAACAAGCTACTGAAAAATAGTATACTTGCTGTATATGAAAGTATAGACTTCTAGATACTAATTCATTAACATAATAATAATAACTTGGTAAGTAACATGATTCTTTGCACTTATTAAATTAATATGATGAACGATTTAATCTACTTATAGGAATATAGAAATAATAATGCTAGACGAATACTTATATTACTATACTGAGATTTATTATTATTATATTAACAAACCTATTAAAATAACATACTATTATATTTAACAAGTATAGAATTTTAGATACTAATTCAAAAAAAATAACTAAATTAACATTATTAACATAATAAATATGTTTCTAAATTAGAGTAATAAAAGCTTCAAACATACTTTTATCAAGTATTATTCCAGTGTATTTAGTTAATTTTAGGTATCTTCGCATCATCATTGCCTTCTTCTGATAGCTCAGTACTAGTCCAATTAGATAGTAATTCAAAGAATTAAAAATTAATTGTATTCACAAATTCATAAAAAGTATAGACTCCTAGGCATTAACTCAGAAAACAATTACATGTTTCTAAATTAGAATAATAAGATCCTATCAAGTATTCTTCAATAACATGATTTTTTTTTAATATAGTAGCCAACAATTAAGAAGGCTTTTAAAAGAATATTGCATTGGTAAATCTGGTACTAATGTCAGAATTCTTTTATAATGACACTTATTTTTCCCAAAAGTAATATACCTTCATCTTTTAATATCAATATGCCACCTAGACGCCCTTGCACATATAATCCTCATTCAAAAATATTCAATTCTTATTCTCAAGAAAAAAAAAGACCATCTACCATATATAACTAGGATACTCTTTTTAGTGATAAAATTTGTGCTGTTTTTCCTGTAGAAGTTGATAAAAGTAGTGTAAGATTTTTAGCTTTTATAAAAACAACTCCTATTCAAAGTACTTTAAACAAAAGATACCAAGATAAATATGTTAAATGGCATTTAACCCAAATTAAAAGTATTTTTAACCCAACTTATAATGTCAATAAAACTGAAAAAAAATATGTTTCCTATATAGTACTCTAGATAATGATAAAAGGTTAAATCATTTATTCAATCATTTGCTTTCACTTCATGAAACCAAAGAACATAAAACCTACATCAATGCTACTCGTATTTATGTTGCTAGGACAACTAAGGATACCTCGTGGTTTTTAACTTACATTACACTACTCTCTATGTGTACTATATGGTACTTTGGAATCGTCTCTGGTTTTCTAAAAAACACAGAAATTGAAAAAGTTGAATTTGAGTATGATATTCAGTACAAGGAAATAGCTGCTGAGCAGCTTAATACTCAAATAAATAACTAATATTAGTTTTTTGGAAATGGAGAGTTGGATTTTGAGTGTATTAGAAATAGAGAGACAGTGTTTGAAAATAATAGTAGAGAGGATCAAAAAAATATTAGTAAAGGGGATCTAGAAGATGATAGTAGAGAGGATCAAGACGACAATAGCAGAGGGAACCAAGAAGATGATAGTAGAGGTAACCAAGAAAGTGATAGTAAAGGAAATCAAGAAAATAATAGAGGGAACCAACCTGAAATAATCGAATTGTTAAGTGATGAAGACCAAACACCAGAGATAATTGAAATTTCAAGTGATGAAGAAAACCAAATACCTGAAATAATCGAATTATCAAGCGATGAAGAGGTGTTTGAGAAAAAACCAATTGCTATTTCTAGAGAACAAACTCCTGAAACAGCTGAAATAAAATTAAATCTATAGGATAACTTATCTTTGATTCTATTTCTGCATTTATGTTTAATTTTTGTTCTATTATAAACATTCTTTTGACGTCGCATAACGGTAAAATTTTAATCAATAAAAGTTCATGTTTATTATCGTTATCTTTATGTGCAACATTAAATAACTTCTTAATTACTTAACGATAAAGAAGTTTATTTTAATAAATAAAATAAAATTCTAACGTTATTACTTTGAAAAGACAACTTTTATTAAACATCTTATTTTTATAGAATTAAAAAATGCTAAATATTACGGAAGGAATTAAAGGCGAAGTAAAGTCTTTTTTTTATAATCGTTTAATATGGCGTGCAGATCTGAAAATTTTTACTATAAAAAATCTTAATTAATGATCATCACTATGTCACCTGCACTATGTTTGCAATTAGACTGATACGAAACACCCCAATACTGTATGCAGTGGCCAACGGTAATACGGAACGCCCATATAAGTGTTACGATTTTTATCGATAACCACTAATAAACTTATAAACAGATTTATAACTTTTTTTACAATGGCTGGAAATAAAAGAAATCAAGATATTTTTCAAACATCTGATTCTAATTATAGTGTAAATAACATATTAACTACTAGTAGTAGTAGTAGTAGTTCTCAACAATCAAAACGACAACGCTCCGAAAAGAATGATAAGGAAAGCATTTGTTGGAAATATTTTGAACCATTCAAAATTCCAAAGGAGTATGGAACAGAAACAAAATGTACAATTCCTGGGTGCACTACGAAATACCTATGGTGTGGATCTACTTCTAACCATGTTGGTCATCTTAAGAATAAGCATGGTATAATAAAATCTTCAACACCTTTAACAACTAAAATATCAACCACAAACTTTATTAATTCCGAATTAGAAATTAATATACCATTAATTAAATTTATTATTTCCTCTGGGGCGCCTCTTAACATTGTTGATAATTTAAAATCTGCTGGATTTATCAATCCACAATACGAACTACCAACTTCTGATATAATTGAAGAACAAATAAATAAAGCATATAATCGTTTATTTCTTCAATTAAAGTCACAAGCTCAGCAAGAAAAATCCACTATGATTTTAATTAATACAATTGAAATTGAGGAATACGTCTATACAATATTCACATGCAATTGGCTAACTAAGGATTTTGCGTTTCATAAGATCTTATTGTGTGTAAAAAAATTTTATTCTGTAAGATTAGACGAATCTTATTTTGATGAAGTTTATGAGGCTTTCGAAAAGTGGGAATTGTTTAATTTAAAATATTGTCATGATACTTGTGATTTTTTTTTTTTTTTTTCCGATAGAGAAGAATTAGAAGAATCATATAAAAAATATCACAATATTACACATCTATATATAGAATATAATATAAAATTTTTAATACGAGAAAGTTTAAAGGAATGGGCTAAACAAAACAGTAATTCCCAAGAAATGTCAGAAATTATCAAAGTTATTAAAAATGCTACTTATAATCTTTATGGAATAGTAAGTTTTTTAAAGAATACAAAAACACAAAAAGAAATACAAAATATGCAAAATATACAGGGAATATTTGATTATTCTACGATTATTGATATCCAAAACGCAGGAAAAATTAAATGTGATTGCGATTATCATAAAATAGCATTTCTTAAGTTAATGAAGCATCCTTTTATACAACTAATTAATAATTATAATAGTTATGAAGATTTCTTTATAAGAAATGAAGGAAAACGTTATAAAGAACTTTTACTAGATTCTTTGCCATTTAGCATATTTTCTAACTTATTACAATTATTTAAACCTTTAGAAAATATTATATGCAGTGATCATGAAATATCAATAAAAGAGGGTCTGGATTTGGAAGATAAAATTGCCATAAATGCAGATAATATGTTGAAAGAACCTATGCTTAATGACTTAGAACACGAGGCCCTTAAATCATTTCTAAAATATATTCCTTTATTCCTTGAAAGTAACCCTTTTTTTATCAGACAGATAGCATCATTTTTGGATCCACGTTCTAAATTAGATGAGATTTCACCTGTAAGTCTTGACCATGTTTATTAATATTTATAAAATAATAATCCAATTTACTTGTTTCATATAACGTATTAGGTAATTAAAAAATATATGTTGAAAAAGTGCCAAGCCTATTATTTAAAAAATAACGATTTGGATAAATCAATTCAAGAAGCAAATAAAGAATTGGAATGTTATCATAACCGTCCACAGTCGTCGTTTGATGAAGATGTTGTTCCGTATGAATGGTGGCAAGGTTCAAAACAAATGCTTCCTGGATTAGCTATGATTGCGAAAGAATATTTGATTATACTAACAATGGATAACGAAGACCCGATAGAAGAATCTGATATAAAAAGACTTTTAGTAACTTATGGTGATGACATGGCAGATAAAATATCTTTTTTACAATATAATAAGAAATATATTGATCAATATTTATAAAAGTTATTTATAATATACGCTAAGACTTAAAACTGAGTTATGTTATGAAAATTAATTATATTATTTAAAGCAAAAACAATGGTTTAAAAAACGAATGTGCTTATTAGGCCAGACCAATTTGATTCGGTGGTTTACATTACCCCCTCCCTCATAGTAAAATTTTTTTTTAGATAAATAGTAGAAAATTTTTATATAGTACGGAACTTTCTGAAAAAAAAAATTTTTTTGAAAATTCACTATGTAAACCCCCCTCAAAACCTCCTTAATTTATAAATTTTAATATGATAATTACTATACGCATATTACTATCATGTCAAGTTTTTTGCAATAGTTTGTGCTTTGAATCATTTTACATTTGCATGTAGTCCTTATAAATATATCAGGAATAAATGAAATTTAATCTAAGATTTTTTTTTCATCTATGGTTCAATGAATTATGGTCAAAGACAGCCGCGCCTAAAATTTTATATTTCGCAAACCTATTATTTAGTGAATAGAGGCTTAATTTTTAGCCTAAAAACTAATTTTTATAAAGTACACGTAGTGGTTGCAAATAAAATTGAAAATGTAAATCCCAAAATTCAAAATTTTAATTTTTAAATTTACAATATAGAACTAGGCGCTTGAGTTGCTTAAAGGGAGTTAGAATTGAGTGTAATATATTGTATTATACTGGTATAATACGTATGTACAGAAATACATAGCTTCGGATAAACATTTATGAAATTATATTTAAAATTAACTGATCTTTTGAATAAAATACATTTCGTATTAAATTTATTATATTTGATTATC